ACATCTTTATCAGGAAATGTGACAACAGCTGCAGCTCCTTGTGGTCCAACCACTACGTCAGCGTATTGGATGACAGTTGTTTTGTTGTTAATTTCTTCATCCCAACTCTTCTCGTAGTCTTCATGTTTCTTGCCTTTGTCATAAAACATGGTACAATAGAGAGGGAGAAAGGGTTCTTTAGATTTGTTGTAGTGATTCATTATTAGGGGTCTCCATGTCTCCCACTCCAGTTGGAGGAAGGAAATTGGTGATGTGAGTTTCAGCCAAAATACTTGGTCTTCTGGTTCACAACTTGTTGCCTTGGGGTCATTTGTGGGCCTAGTGGCATCATGTAGGCTTCATTCTTGTCGCCTCAAAAGAGATTACATTAGGGGTACATTTAATTTTTGCATTGAGCTGGCATAGCACATCTCTACCCAGCATATTAATTGGCGTATCTTCTGAGTAAAGCAGTGGTGCATACACAGTCTTTTCACCTATGATCATGGGGACTGGCTTAGTCATGGGTATTATTTGGGTCTTCCCAGAGGAACCTATTGTTCGAATCTTTGATGCTGAGAGAGGCAGGCCAATTCCACTTTTCCCTATACAGGAGTGGGCCGCTCCTGTATCAATCATTAAGCGATGATGGCTGTCGTATATAGTGACATCAATGGTGGGTTCTGTTTGTGGGCGTTGGGTTAATACAGGTAAGATGGCCTCTCTATAGGGTTTCTCTGGGCATCCCTATTGCCAGTATGACTCTTGTCCTGCTCCATAGGTGGCTGATCCAGCGGTAGGGGGCTGAGGTCCCATCCATAGGTTGGTGGGGCAGTCCCTTTGCATGTGTCCGACTTGTCCACATCCCCAGCATTGCAGCCTCGCTCGCTGTTGTCCCATGTCTGGACCGGCCTGGGGCATCTGCTGGTATTGACCTTGAGGGGGCCTTCTTGGGGCTCCTTGCGGTCCCCTCCATCTTCCCCGCATGGGTGGTCCCCCTCGTCCTTTTCCGGACATTGCTTGTTGGGGGCCTCCTCCTTGGTTTAGATGCACATGAATAGGAGGGATTGGTTGTGGTTGGGTCTGCTGTGGCAGGGCTCCTCCCACAGGTGGTGCTGCTGGATACTGCATCTGCTGTGTGGGCGGAGGGATGATAGGAGACACTATTGGTGCTTGTACGACTGCCTCCCCTGTTGATGCACCCTCGGTCGGGGGTGTGGCTGCCACAGTCAGTGCTGCTTGATGTTTGGGCTTCTCTCTTTCTTTCTTTGCTTTGGATAACTCCCCAATCTGCAGCTGGGTTAACTTGGTGGCCAGCATCTTGCTTTGGTCTTCAAAAGCCCATTTTTCAGCCCGATGCATGTTTACATAGTGTATGACATGCTCAGAGAACAAAGGCCAGTCCATTTTCATGAGCCCCACAACTCCGTCCAGTTTGGCCTGCACTTCTTTGGACATGGCCTCCCTGATATAGGTTCTAAACAGTGGGCCG